CAACTCCCTTGGGAAGAACCTATCTATTAAAGCTCTAGAAAAACATTCCCAAGTCACATGAGTTGCATCCACACCCCTGTTTTCTTTCCACTGAGTGAACCAAATGTGAACCACATCTTTAAGCTGGTAAGATGCCAACTCTACCCTATCATTACCAGTCACTTGCATCACTCCAAATTTTTTTTAACCTCATCAATGAAGTTCTATGGGTCCTCACCAATTTGCGACCCTAGAAACTCAGGCAGATTCATGCGAACAAAATCTCAAACCCTAGCTGTTGTGTACCCATTAGTAGCATTTGTAGGAACTGGAGCATGTTGATTGTTCTGGTTGGGTACACTCTGAGCCAAAAACTGGATGGCATTTCGAAACTCTGCATTCGAAACCTCATGGTCTAGGACTAGAGGGACTGCGTTAGCGTTGTGTGCATTAGCATTCCGTCTGTAGGCTCTACTAGGAAGCATGATCTGAAACGCAATACGACGAATTAGAACGAGAAGTTGGATTATAGTTCACGCACGATAAAAGTAGAAAGAAAGTGAAGTTTTTCCTAAAACACTTCATAGCTTCGTTCTCATTAGATGTGGTGCACTTCACACCTATGAAAAAGACTCTACTTAGTGCGGCTTTCAGACATCCTAAGACTCTTGAACCTAATCTAATGCTCTGATACTAAGTTTGTCATGCCCCAAGGCTACCCCCTTGACGTAAACACAGGACCTAGGATCACGAGTGACCCCAAGCTAACCCTGTCTGGCATAACATAAGCATACTGACATTATCTAAGAAAACAAGAACTAATGCGGGAGCTAAAACAATAGTTAACTAAATGCGGGGAATACCCAATACTGATCTGAATATATATAAATAATATCCAAGAGTTTAGTGATACTGAACATCATCCAAACACTAAAGCTGAGTCTAACACTATGTCTGAAAAAGACTCTAACTGACTAGAGTTGCTGGGACATGCCTTTAGCTAACTCTAGCAAAACTAAAACTGAAAGGAAAAACATGTCTATTGTCCTCGAAGTATGAGGACTCACCACTGAAGCTGCTGAATATGGATCGGGAACCGATGTATGCATGATCTGGATTCTAAGTACCTGAACCTACATCATGAAAGGATGTAGCGCAGAGTATGCATCACTACTTGGAATCATAGGCGAATCCAGGATTTCAAGAAAACGGGTGCACCATTGCTTTAAAGAAAAGATCAAAAAATTTATAATAACAATAACTAAGCGATATATTTAAATTTTTTTATTTTGTTTATTAAAAAGAGAAACCATAAATTTTAAAAAAATTACCTTAAACTTTGACAATGATGATTTTTCTAGATTCTTGACTTGAAGTTGGAGACTTGGAGTTCTTTGTGTGGAAAATAAAAGGCAAATTTAGAGAGAGAAGGAAAAATATTTCTGGAACTTGAAAAGTGGGTGAGAAGGAAACTTTTGAAGTCTTTTGACTTTAGAACTTTAGAATTTCTCTTTGTTTTTTTTTTTTAAAAACGTGTATTTTTAGTTAATAAAAAAAATAAAGCAAATTGTGGCTGGCTAGGATTGAACTCGAGACATTGGTATTAAAATTTGGCTGTCAAACCATTGAACCATCCAGCGACTTTGAGAATGGGTTCCAAAAGTTATTATTTAATATTTCTTTAATATTTCTTTAATAATTATACATGTAATATATCGAGTTTAGTCGGATGAACACGGGTTCCGGTGACCCAATTTTTATACATAAATTCGCTCCTCTTTGGAATGTACTGAGCATGCAGGATATGGATATTAGCTGAACAAACATATAAGCTGAACAAAACATAAATGAGCAATGACATAATCTGAATTATAACAATAATATTGAAATATACTTAAATGAACTGAACTGAATGCAATGACCAAGTACTGATTTTTAACATAACATGTTGAGACTGGATGTTGTAGTATAACTGAAACATGGTCAAATGCACTAATAGTCTGACTGTGGGAGCTACTATTAACCGACATAAAACCACGTGAGTGAAATGTGGAGTCAGATGTATACTCCCCATCGAGAGGTCCCAATATACCTTGCCATAGGTATAAAGGCATGACTGGCGTGATCACTAAATTTGATGCCCACAGAGGGGACTTATAAACCTACGGAGGCACGTAGTTTTGGGACTATAAGGGTACTCTAATCCCTAGTCCAACTCGATGCTAAGCCTACTCCCAACTGGAAACGTGTAAGACACAACATAACTGAAATATTGGATAGCTCAATATTCTGACATGCAAATCTGAAAATGCAACATTTATGAACTGACAATGAAACATTCGAAACTGGAGCATTTATATCTGTTTGATTGACCTAGAAAGTGTAATTCATGAACTAAGAAAATCTACACAACTAGGGTTCTGAGTTTCATGCAAGGAACTAAGCAGCGATTCCACAACAACATGATAATTCTATTAGGAGTACTATAACAGCTAAATCACAATCAATCTCTAAGGTCTTAGAAACCCTAGGTCTAAACAAGATATAGGAATCAAGAATCTAACTGAATTCTAGGGACCTAGTGGATGAAAGGAATCCACCAGTGAAATAATCCCTAGTCCAACTCGATGCTAAGCCTACTCCCAACTGGAAACGTGTAAGACACAACATAACTGAAATATTGGATAGCTCAATATTCTGACATGCAAATCTGAAAATGCAACATTTATGAACTGACAATGAAACATTCGAAACTGGAGCATTTATATCTGTTTGATTGACCTAGAAAGTGTAATTCATGAACTAAGAAAATCTACACAACTAGGGTTCTGAGTTTCATGCAAGGAACTAAGCAGCGATTCCACAACAACATGATAATTCTATTAGGAGTACTATAACAGCTAAATCACAATCAATCTCTAAGGTCTTAGAAACCCTAGGTCTAAACAAGATATAGGAATCAAGAATCTAACTGAATTCTAGGGACCTAGTGGATGAAAGGAACACACTAATGAAATCCCACATACATGGTGATGAATTTCACGGAGAAATCCTTCGATTTTGGGGCTGGAACTGAAGAAAACCTGTTGCGTTCTTGGAAGGGTTTGGGTCGCCTGTTTTCTCCTCTTTTGCTCTAAGTTTGATGATTTTTGGTGAATGAATCGATTATGGTAGGTACTGATTAGAATACTAGGCTTAAACTGAGTAAAATGACGTAGTTTAGGCGTTAAACGATGCAGTTTAGGTGTCCAACTCATATCGGAAAAGACCAAAATGACCCCAACTTAAAATCTAACGAGGCCGACAACGACACCACTAACGGTCCGTCGTGGGACCACGGCCCGTCAAATGGGTCGTGGTTCTTGGCCAGTGTCTACTGGTTCAGGGACCTTTCCTCTACGGTCTACTTCACGGACCGTGTGAAGGATCACGGACCGTGAAGGCCACTGTGGTCCTTTACTTGGGCTAGGGGCCTACTACCTCAGCTTCACGAGCCTCATCATGACCCGTCATCAAGACCAAGACCGTGGTAGGCTCCTTGGTCTGACTCCTGAGCCCTGGTGGCTCTGTCTCACCTCCACGAGCCTTCCACGACTCGTGTGGTGGTCAACGGCCCGTGAAGGGTCCCGTGGTCCACCACTCCTGGGACAGTGTGAACCACGATGAGGGTGATGGACCGTGGTTCCTTTCACGGTCCGTGAACCCCTCCGTGGTTCATAGATTTTCTATTGTTTTGTCTGAGCTAAGTTCTGAGATGTTACACATAGTTTTGTTTAATTTGTAAAGTAGCCCATTGAGCCCTCTTGTTATCTACGTTTTAGTATGAGTCATGGTGTTTGTTTAGTTTCTTATGAGTCTACAACTTTAGCATGAAGTATATTAATTAGCAAGTGCTTGTACAAATTCTTAATATCCGCCCCTTTCTAGTTGGGGAGACATGACAAAGATTATAAACTTGTGAATCAAATTATGAGTGGCTAAAATTTATCTTTCTAGGGTTTTGACTACAAATGATTGTGGAGTTGTAAAACTTTAAGATGAAGTTTACTTATTGTATGAGTTATTCTTATGTTCGTATTTTATTAATTTGATGCTTAATCACCATTGAAATACAACTATTGTCTTGTATTGAACTCATGAGAGGGATTTAGAGATAGAACACGAATTATGAAAAGTGAGTTCATTTTTTGCTAAACCAAGGAATCGATGTGTAACTAGGATAGGGATATACCTAGTTTGCCTCGCTTGGCTAATAAACTAGAAGATAGTGTAATGCTCTGAAATTGGGCCAATCCCCAATCAACTATGTAGTTAGGTATCCAATTTTGGTAGAAGGTTAGATGCTCGAGAGACCATAACCATATTGTCAACCTCGTAAGTCAATAACTCGATAACCAAGAAAAATCTAATGGTGCAAACACTCTGCATGACTTCATATGAAAGTCGTGGCCTTGGAATTTCCTAAATATTGATTATAACCCTAGTTTGAACTAAAGTCATCGTCACTTAGCTTTACATAGTTGTTAATTGCAATATTTATGTTACAATCACTATTAGAATACTTTTTAAGCACTTGCACCAAATGAAATTGAAAGTCAAATTGAATATTTACTAGTAAAAAAAATTTTGGGTTTGATAATCTGGTTAATAAGAGTCACTTTACTATTTGTTATACCACGTACACTTGCTTGTGCAATTTTGACGTAACAATTACCTATTTTAATACAATAAACTACACACTATATGAGATTAATATGCTCATTAATAAAGGTCAAAAAATCATTTTCTTTAATCAATGTGGTATAACAATCCTTCTCATGCTTTATCATCCATTAAATAAAGATACACATATTATTCACTTTCTATCTTTTAAAAAAAGATATTGAAAAGATTTTTTTTTAACTAAAACGGCCCAATGAGGTATTAATAAAAAGGAAATATTTACATGGTTTTAGGCCCAAAAGTGGCCAATACCTGGAAAAACAAAACAAAATAATGAAAATCTATTGATTGAAGAAAAAACAAACAAAATGAAAGAAAGAAAAAATATCCATCAGAAATGGAAATATCTCGATAAAGCCGACCCATCGTCTTCCTCACCTTTGGCCGCCATTGATGAACTCAGAAACAAATGAAATTAATGAAGAAAACCTTCTTAGCGAAAGAGATTAGAAATGAGGTGCAATGAGCTTGGATGGATTACATCCAGAACGCTGAAAACTCTCAAAGGTGTAAGTGACAGATTGTGGGTTAGATCAATTCATTCCGTTCTTCAGGGAAGATCTATGGAAAAGTAAAGCCAAAACGGATCTATCAAAACAGATATTCTAAATAAATACTTGGTCGATACGAGACTTTTTCTTAGTTCAGTGGGGTTAACTCTCACAAGTGCCATGTAATCCTGTTTGAGGAAGACTTCTTCAACTCGATGTTGCCCAGATCTACTCTTTTATATCGAAGGTAAGCTCTATAATCTCAACCTTTTAAGAAGCTATTATGATTAATTGCTTGTTTCACAGTAGTTCTCCGGTTGGTGCGCCTCTGGACTTATAAGCTCCTAATCTTATAGCATTCCAAATAAGTCTTGCTCCTTTTCTTGTTTATTCATTTGTCTTATCAAGCGAGAAGACCACAACCCTAATTCCTTGTCCTTTGACAGATTGAGCTCCGAAGGAGCATATACCACTACTCCATGATCTTTCTATAAGATAAATCTTGTTGAGCTCTTCTCAGTGTTGATTTGACTAGATGCCGGTGTCTATGTAATGTAGTTTTTGTTCTCATTAAAATGCAAAATAGGAATTTTGACATTTAGTAACTCTTAAATTAGGAACTTTCTTGGCATCTAGGATGATGAGTGACTTCCCTTTTTAGGTACCTCCTGAAACAAATTAAAAGCTTTAACATATGTACCTGTACAGGAAAAAATAAAATTAGAAAAATAGTCAATTACTTTATTTTCCTCACTGAGCCCAAGAGACACCTCCACTTGTATATTCCTCCTCAACCATTACATATTTTTAATACTCAAGCTAATACTCTATGGAATTTCCCAAATTCCATCCAAGATTTTTGTCACAATAAGTGAATCAATCTCTAAGATGACAAGTAGTAGATTGTGTGATACACAGAATTGTAAACCTTTTTCTAGTGCCAGGACTTCTGCTTCTAGACTTGTTTTGATATCCAGACCATATGATTCTGCATAAATGAAACCTCCTTATCAATTCCTAACAGAGGAACCCCTAGCACTATGTCCTAAATTACCTTTTGAGGCTTTATCTAAGTTATATTTGTACATTTCAATACCAAGAGATGACTAGTATATCACCTAAGTAGCTATAATAGATTTGTAACCTTCAAAGATATTAATCAACATAGGATCATCTTTGGGAATATTCCTCAACCAAGAATATCTAACCACAACAAGACTATGAACATTTCTATTGATTTCTGCTGTCATGCTAAAATTTGAGATTTTTCCTCCATGTTTTACTTTGTTTCTCCCTTTCAAAGTCTACCAGAGTATAAAACCAAGGATATCATTAAACAAAGGTCTCAATTTAGATGTTCATTTAGCATTCCACCATTTAAAAATAGTGTCTTATAGTCGCAAGAAAGTCCCCTCCACACCCGCTGCTCTAGCAAACATTTCCCACAACAACTTTGCATTACAAGAGATAAAGAGGTGTTCCAATGTTTCATTAACACTAAGGTCACAACAACAATAATGAACCACATTCTCTAGTCCTACTCGGACAAAAAAATCCCCAATAGGAATTCTTTGTTTGATTAATCTCTATAAAAAAAATGATTTTAAAAGGAGCGTCTTTTTTTCCAAACCTGTCTAAACCTTTCATGTGTTACTCTAGAGGTCCTTATAACCTTCTATATTGAACTAAGATAGAACTTACATGAATGATTGAGAATCCAGTAAGGTTTAGTCACCTCCTCACACTCTTACAATATATCAATCTTGTTAAGTATATGTTCTACCACACTTTCATGGAAATTATGTCTTAGCCATTCTTCATTCCACCTGCCCTCTTGCATTAACTGATTAACATCATCCTAAAAAGGATAAGTAGGAAAAGGCACTCGTAGATAGTAGTGTAGTATTCCAAGTTGAGTCCAGTCATCAAACATAATACTAGGGGATCCACGGTTAAGTTGCCACCAAATTCCTTGATCAATGCAATCCCTAGCCATTAGCATATGTTTCCAAGTCCGAAAACCTCTCTTCTACTCCACTGTTTGAGGCCTACATACTTGTTCCACATGAGATGAGACCATATAGTGTTTTTAGTCCTAAAATTTCACCAAAGCTTTACAAACAAAGCTCTTGAGACGTCAAACAATAACCTGAATCCCAGACCTCCTCCCATCTTAGGTTGACAAATTTCATCCCAAGAAACCTAAGGTTTATTTCTGCCCACTTTCTTGAAGCTCCAAAAAAATCTAGCAAAAACTTTGTGTAGATCATGAATCACGCATTTGGGTAGAATGATTACATATAATTGATATATAGGTATACTTTATAAAACATTATTGATCAGAACAATCATTCCTCCAAAAGATAATAATTTCTTTCCAAAGCTTGTAACTTATTATGTATTTTCTTCATCAGATCAGCAGAGTGTGTTTTCTTTTCCTAGCATGCCCAATTGGGAATCCAAGGTAAGTTAAGGGAAAATTATCTCTAGGAAAACCTGAATATTCTTCTACAAGATGAATTTCTATTTGAGCAGCCATATAAAGCACAATAAAGACATTTTTTCTTTGTTAATCTTCTATCCTCATTTTCTTTCATAGTCCTGCAATGTTTTCATCAACAATTCTATAGAGAATCTATCAACATTAACAAAATTACGATGTGATCATCATACGCTAAGTGAGTAATATTTTCACTCCACCTAGATAGACCAGAACCCTTATAATACGAGTATAAGTTATTCGGAGCCCTAGAAAGAACCTCAACATAAGGGGATAGAGGATCCCCTTGCTTGACCCTGATAACACTCAAATTACTCACTAAAACAATTCAATGAGTAAGCGATCACTAGCAATATAAATATCCAACAAAAGAGTTGGGGTCAAATCCCACAAGGAGTGATCTAAATGTAAGAATTCAATGAGGAATATAAAAGTGCAAACCAATTCATTGTAGTAATTAGGACAAGTGGGTGGATAATTTCACCAAATTTAATAAAGGATTTTGGAATCAATTATCACAATATAGGGATTAAACAAGTAAAAGATGACGTAGGGGCGTGGGAGTTGGTATCAACATCAAATAAGGGTGCTTGCTCAATAATGCTAGAAAAACATGGATAGGCTAGGTAATCTCTAACGACATAAATCTTCTTTCGATCTCAATGCATCATATCATAGAATTTCTTTTCGGTCTCATCCATGTAAAATACAAATACATTACTAAAATCTCTCTTTTGAGAAGATTTGACAATTAGAATGGAACTACAATTTCTCTTTCAAGCAAACTACAATAATCAAACCCAATTTGCAAGTATTAAGCTATTGACCCACTTCAATTAATCTCATCAAGCATCAATCATAGATCTAAACTATGATTAAGTTTGCAACCTTAACCCATAAATTAAACCAATATTAAATAGCTCAAATCCATGAATGAATATCAGAAAAGCAGAGCAAGACAGTAGACCCACTAAATTAAATTAACACCAAATTTCATAATCACACCCTTAGATTTGAGCTTTTAACCAAACATCATAAAAGGAAAAGAAATTATACTTATTATGTTTTCAGCCATTAAAGTGTTAATAACCAACAATAATCTTCAACACCCACTTTGAATTGAACCCTCAATCATCAATTACAAGATTATTCAAAAAACCCCAAACTAAGAAAAAAGCTAGAATGGATAGAAAGTAAAAGTTTCATTGTTTATATTTTTCCCAAAAGTTAGTCTGAAATTCCATGTGTGACCGAATTGGTGACATTAGTCGGACTCGCCTACATTATTCGGCAGATCACCTTTCTATTCTTCAGCTCACCTTTTCTTGGCTTCAAAATTCAAGTGTTTGAACCTCAATCGATGAACTCTATTGAGTCAGCCTTTCACGTTTGGTGAATCACCGATTACAACCTTTGTTCGCCCATTTCGCCTTCATTTTAACTCAAAAGTCTGTCACTTTTGGTGGTGGAGGCTTTAGCTTGCCCAACTGCTTCGGCGAATCATCGTTTACACTTTGTATCACCGACCTGCCTTGAAGATTTTCAGAAGTGAACACCATCACTTTAGGTGAGATCCCAACCTGTTGGGTGATCCGCCCATTGTGCTAGGCGATCCTCAGCTAGAAGTTTACACTCTTTTCAATATTTTTGGGTTTTTTTCTCAGATTCATCCTCGCCTTGTCATTTAGTCTTCATCGCTGCAAAACATCAAAATATCATCAGATAAGGACATAAATAGGTATTGAGGACACTATTTGTTAAAATAAAAAGGCCTCGAATGATTCAAAATCTCAGACTCATCAAACCCCTCAAGTAGAATAAGAAAAACCAGAAGCTTGTCCATTAATCAACACATAGTACCAGTTATTTGCAACTAGTCTCCAAATCTTGTCAGAATATAAAAAGCTCATATTTTCAAGAACTTACATAAAAAAAACTTTAGTCCACTCTATCATACATTTTTGCCATATTAAGCTTAAAGACTACATTAGCAGTTTTACTACTTTTTCTGATGTCTACTATAATTTCTTGCGCAAGTAAGACATTTTCTATTATGCTCCTACTAAAGAAAAACTGGTTAGCAGAGATAAGATTTGGTAACAACACCTTTAATATGTCATGGATAAGTCTCGAAATGACCTCATTAAAAAAATTACTACACTTGATAAAGCCAAACTGGTTAGTAGGGATAAGATTTAGTAACAACACCTCTAGTATGTCATGGATACGTCTGGAAATGACCTCATTTAGAAGATTACTAAGACTGATAGGTGTTAAATCTGAAAAAACACATATTCTTTTTTTGGGGTTAAAACCAAAATTTGTATGAGTAATAAACTTAGATAAAGTCAAAACATTAAAAAGGTACTTACCACTTCAAACATATCATTAAAACATATCATTATCAACAATGTCCCAGTAAACCTGATAGAAGTGACTAGTAAAACCATCAAGACCACATACACTATCTCCATTTAGCTCAAAAACTACCCTTCTGACTTCTTCAAAGGTAGGAGGTCTATTCAAATCATCATTATCTTCTTCAGATATCACAGAAGGAACCAAATATAGTACAGACATATCCATATCAGCTAACCTTCTATTAAACAGATCTTGATAAAATTCGATGGCTTCATCCACTACTTCATTACCTTCAGGCCATGAACCATCAACTTTTTGGATATTAAAAATTTCCAATCTTTTCCTTCTACCTTTTACAAGACAATAAAAGAATTTTATATTTATATCTCCCTATGTGAACCACTAAATACCTAATTTTTGTCTTCAAAACACCTTCTCAAAGTGTAAGTACATATTATACTCAACATGAGCCCTGCTAAGTATTGCGTTGTTGGCAACAATGTATGACTCCTCAAATAGTTGTTCTTTAACTCTGACAATATTTTCCCCCACAAGGAGTGGTTGAAAATATCTTCATAACAATCTCTACTCTATTTTGATAGTGCTTGTTTAGTTCTCTTTATTTTCATCTTCAGGCCAACAAAGACATCTGAATAACCTTTAATAACCCAATTTTGTAACACCACCTCTTTATAATCTTCTTTTCCCGTCTAAAATTTTAAGAAATGTGAAAGGTTTATAGAAATATGGAACATGTCCACCACAAGATAGAAGCATTGATGCATGATCTAACTTAGATCTGGCTAGAATTTCTAACCCACATTACACATTTCTCCTAGATAAAAATGATAACAAACAATATATCCAATCTTTTAAAGATGAACTCTTCATCAGCCCCACCATTCCATCATATGAAAGGACTGCCTTTAAAGTTTAAATCAACCAACTCACATGAGTTTACAAAGAAACCAAAATCTTCCACCTCATTAGGATACACTAGCAGTCCCCTAATCTTCTTTTCAACATTCAAAATGACATTGAAATCTCCACCTACCAACCAAGGGTATGCCATCTAATAGGATAGATCTCATTCCATAATTGTAGTCTCTTAAAGGGATTACATTTTGCATATACCAAAGTATTAATCATCTGATGACCATTATCAAAAAGTAACTCCACAGTCAATTATTATTCTGAATATTACATCCATCTATACAAATAATCATATCTTACTGTTTACATTATAATTTTCATAAGTCATGCCCAATCTTCTTTTATATTGCCGAATATGCCTTATTTCTTGAAAAAGTTCCATCAGTGCCACCAAATCAAATTTGTGATGCCTATGAAATATTTGAATTCGATGGAAAGAATGATGAGGCCTCATAGATTTGATATTCCATATGAGAGCTTTGTACTTCATTTCAAAATAGATCTTCCAAACATCACAAGATTAATCCTAGATGCTCCACTCATTGAGGTTTATTCTTTCTCTTTTTTGATTTATCTTGAGGTGATACTACTGCTTCTTTACAAACTTCAGAGAAATTCTGTTGGTTTCAAATTCATTATGCTCCTCCACCTTTAAATTTATCTCTTGTGCTGGTATGATTTCTCCTTATTTACTACTTGATGAGAGACTAGTTCATAAAGCATTTTCATAGGAAAACTCTGTTGACTTTCAACAAAAGGTACTATTAGTTTATCATCTTGTATTGATGGCTCCTTTATCAATTGTTTTTCAAGTGATTTATTATTTCTCTCCACAATATTATCACTATATGGAAGGGCTAACAAATCTTCTTGCTCAGAGGCATTTGTAGCATCAACAATATCAATTTGCAAAGGAGTGGGGAACTCCTCCTCTTGACTAGTATTAGTTGTATGCCCCTTAATCAATTTTACAATATCTTGATTTTCAACACTACTACTTGTGTTAATTTTTCCTGTTATGCTCTACAGGTTGGAATGTTCAACAACAACTTTGTTCAAGTCTTCATGATCATATTGATCCATTATATTTAACTTATTTAATTCTGGGCTTTTATTGTGATCTGTATTCATTGATGGATTATTTATATGTTGTGTTTGTAATTGTGTTAGTTTCTTTACGACTTTCTTTACTTGTGACTTCATGCATACTAGTACCCTATTCCTCATGTATGTTATCTGATTTGTAGAAGGCATTACGAATCCACCCTTTAGTATTCTTCTACTCCAGTTATCTTCTAAAACAATAATATCCTTTGTTGCATTTGCATTCTCTATATCCTCCTCTGTAAGTGCATTGAAAGGGTTATTAGTGGTAACCTTTTTTTTTTCTCTATTTCCATTTCAGTGGTATTAACACAGTTGATGTTATTCTATAATTTCTTCTTAGGAATCTTTATTGTTGTTGTTGAGATGCTTCCTTGTCTTTTTCCTTCTTCTTTTCTGTTTATTCTTTCCTTTTTAATTGCATTCTATCTTCATCTTCATTATGACCCAGTAGTCTGCACTTCTTGCAGTACTTTGGAAGCATACCATACATCACTTTTACCTTTTCAACTTTAAATGAGTTCTTTGAGGGATCAGTAACTTCTAACTGCACAAACTTAGGTAAATCACTTAGTAAATCTACTTGTACTTTAACCCTTGCACAACTTAGTCTCATATTGTTAATAGTTACCTTATCAAGGTGAATTGATTTCCTTATTGTTGAAGCTAGTGAAAACAAAGTTTCCTTCCCAAACAATGTAGGCTATCGATCATGGAAGAAAATTCATACCATAACTTATGTGATTTCTTCAACAATCTTGAATTTTTCATCATAGATTAAAAGCCTCATAGGGTATGACATACCTTCCTTATCAGTAATATAATAAGAAATAAGAAGGCCTAGACATCATGTTCACAAAATCTTCAAATAACTTCTGCCTCATTAATACATGCCTATTTCTCAACAGTTCCAATCTTACAATCTCATTTGATATTACATTGAGATGGAATTAACTCCTTTAATTCCTCCACTTTCGGCCATCCTTATGAAATTTTGCTATCACTGCATATTGAAGGTTTTCTAAGGTGTTTATCTTTTAACTTCATCCTCCGTCCATGTCACACGCAGAACACCATTATTAAAAGTAGACAACTTAAACAATATTAGAGCACCTTCAGGGGCTTTGATTTTATCCGGTTAATTCATATTTGTGGGTTTCAATAATGTTGCATCTTTGCCTTCCTTAAATTTCAACGCTTCCCAAATTAGGTTCTCTAGGCAAATCAATAAGGTTCTTATCTGAATTAGAAGTAGAAGAAGAGGGGAGGTAGGGAATTGTATATAAGAAGCTAATGAAATTGACTGACCAGTCACGTAATGGCCATGGGGTCAAGGGTTACATATACTAGGGTTTGCATAATAGAGAGAGCGATCACTTCTGAAAAATTAAAAATATTCAAAGATATTGGAAATATGAATTTCAAAGTACACAATTAATTTTTTAATAATTAATTGACTTTTAATATCATTGATCTGTTGTACAATAGTATGATTAAATAATGTAAGTTAACGTTCATGAAATGCTTTGTATATCATGGTTCAATTTGAACTTCAATTGAAAATTTTAAAATCGTGATATGTTTTGAATACATTTGTCCATAACTATTCAAAATTGATGGCATTTATAGTAAGTGTTAAAAGCTATTTTTCACGGTAGAAAAATATATAAAATTTTAAATATGGTCAAGAATTCTTAAGTATGATAAATATAAAGTTTAAGTATGGTAAACTAATGTATTTTTTAAAAAAATAAGAAGATTATAATTTTAGGTGAATAAGTCTATTATTAAAAGAATAAAGTTGAATGATATATCATGTCAGCTATGAGAGAAAGCGATTTTTGAGGTATTTTGTATTTCTTTTTAAGAAAAATAGTGATAGTTGACTAGTATTTTGGTCCTAATAATAATTGAAATAAAAGTGATATTTGAATGTAATTTTAAAAACTTGAGTGATCATTTAAGGAAATAATTTAATTATTAATAAATAAAATTTTAAAAAGGTAATTTGTGAGGCTTGTCTTATTCTTCATGTTTAATAGTCAAGTCAAATCAAATCAAGTGAAATTCATTTTTTAGAAATTTTTTTTACTCCTTTTTTGGCATAATACATAAATATGATCCTTAACTTGATTTCAGTTAACAACTATGCTCCAACTTTGAGTGTGCACAAATAGACACTTAAACTTGTATAAAATTGAACAAGTAGACACACGTGTCGTACATGCCATAATACACATAGGACGCCACATATGACACAAAACTACCATGTAGGACGCCATATAAGATGAATGTGTTTATTTGTTCAATTTAATATAAGTTTAAATGCCTACTTGTACACAACCAAAATTGAAAACCGTAATTAACAACTGAAGCTAAATTAAAGATCACATTTATGTGTTATGCGTTTTTTTTTGTCCTAATTCCCAAATAAAAATATAGATATTTTTTTATTATTTATCTTTTTTTTTTAAAAAAAAAGGACCATCAAAGAAAATAAACAGGTAAGCAAAGTATTATAGGCATGTAAGAAGGGATCTCATCTTACAGTTGCTGCTGCGTTCAGACAGAAAAATAGCAAGAGATAGAGAGACAGACATCAGCTCTGTTTGTTGTCCGCTCCGCTGAGTAGATAGATACTTGTTCCGAAACGCTGTCGATCAAGCTCTCTTTCTGGTTTGTATCTGATTCTCTTTACTTTTCATCTTTCTTCTCTTATATATCGTTAATCTCTAGGGTTCCGGATTCTTGTTTTTGATTGATCAAATCAGGAAACTGGTAAAAACTTTTGTACTTCATCTCATCAATTTTAGAATTTTCTCTGTTACTTGCTATGTATAGGAGTTTCAGGTATATATATGAAGTTGTACTGTCTATGTTTATGCTCTCACTCCTGTTTAGGCATATGGTAATTCATGATCTATTTTTTAGCATAACCAACTTCATAGAGCAAGATTTTTTTTTTTTTTCATTAGAGAATGCAGGACGTTTTCGTTGGTTGAGTTTTCAGATACGCTGTGATGGCCACTTGATTACAAGTTTCTGAATAATATCTTTGTTGATTTGACACTTTTCTGTGTACAGAGACATGTATTCAGCTTGTTATCCTCTTTAGTTATTACTGAACAAAAGCAACATCACTTATCCTCAATTGCAAACTAATTTGGGTTGGCTAGATGAAATGTTTCTATGCCTGAGCTCTAAGTTTTTCAGTTGATTCATTTGGTTTTCCGTGGATTGGTTAATTAGAATAATCCTTGATGAGTTCATGGACAGTTCACAAAAAGAATCAAGGCTACTATAAATTTTAGCATATGTGGCTAAAGTTGATGGCTTTATGGACAGTTCTCCCAAGTCCCACCTTGTTCCCCCGTATCATTGATAGTCCCTTTTATTTTCATTTGTACCCTTCCAGACACCACTTTGTTCCACACATTTATTTCCTTTTTAAGCATCTTCAGCTTTTTTGCTAGCCGGAATGACAATTTTTCCACCACATTGTAGTTGTTCCAACATCTAACCATTTTTTCATGAAGTTTGTCTCTCCTAACCGCATGTTCTCTAATCTAAAGGGAGTTCTTCTCTTCCACCATCTAACAAAATGGATGAATGATCCTATGCCAACCTCATAAGGATAGTTTGTATAATTTTTGGAGCAAACTCCTTCCATGAGGCAGACACCTAGAACGAGTCTCTATCTAAAAGATGAATCCTACGACCTAACTCAAGTGAAAGCAGCACCTGTCAATGGAAGATTAATAAGAAAAAAGTTATCAATGCTCTGAGAACTCCTTTATTTCCCTAGGAACCACCCTACGCCTCACCCTCTCTTTCAGGAATTTGAAGGTGTTAAAATCCCCACCTTGTACCCATGAGATATTCCACTGTCCCAAAACTGTCCCCATTTCTCCCCAAAAAGCCACCTTAGACCCCTCCCAAACAGGACCATTAACTCCACCAAATTCCCATTCTGTCCCATTCCCAATATTTTAAATGTCGCTGCTACCATATAATCTCTCTTCTTCACCTCCATATCTCAATCTTCCTTTCATCCCAAAGTGACAATATCCCCCCTGCGTTTCCCTGAGCCTGTAACTGGTCATATTTCACCAACACTCTAATCCCTATCTTGATGATGACCCTTTTGTTTGTGTCACATTCATCACCTCACATTCCAACTAACAATTTTATTATCTATCAAATAACTTCTTTGGCAAACCCCCCTCCCCCCGCCCTTTCCTTCCTTATACTACCCCTCACATTTCCCATATTCCTATTCCTTCTCCCATACATCACTACTTTACCCTCCCCTTTTTGCTTGCCCTCCTTAGGTTGCCTTTTCCCACCCAAAAACTCAACATTTTCACCCGTAACTTGTCCACTTGACATATAATCTCCTTATATCTAAATAAAGCATATGAGAACACATATAAACTCATATCATATGTGTGTTTTAGATAATACACACAATTCATAAATACTAGCAATTTTCGTGACTTGAATGTATATACCTGTGTATACGTATACACTCGTCTCCTTGTTTACATAGTCACCCCCTTACTTATAGTAGACATTTGGCTTTACTTAAACATGCTTTTCTAAGGTCAATGTCTAAACATACCTGGTATCCATAAAAGCTACCGATGTAAAATAGCTTTTCCCCGCACCAAGGATTGCTAAAATTCTCAATCTATCCAAATTAATGAACCTTGGGGGTTAATTTACGTCCATTGGACCCATCTTAGAAATCTAGGCTTTGGTCAAAGTCGAATATGGGTCAATGGGGTCAAAACCCGGAACAAATTATATTAGCAGATCACCCGTAAGCTAGGGAATTTAAATCTATAGTCAAAATCCTATCTTGACTTGCTTTACTTGGTCTAATCTCAATTTAGGTGATTCAATGAGTTAGGGTTAATTCCAACTTGAAACACTAGAAAATACATGTTTTGATCTTAAAAATTCAAAGGAAAACATGTATATAATCCAAAGCTACTATTATAAACCTTACCTCAAAGACTAGGTGGTTACTTTTCAGAAAGAGTGAAATCCTGTAGCTTAGAACCCTTAAAACATGGAAAATTAGACTTAGTTTTGGCAAAATCTGGTGCGTTTAATAATGGACATTACCGCTATCACTGCATGCCTTGCACAATCGCACTGAACAAAGGTGGGCTGGCTAGGACCTAGGCATTGGCTTACACAATCACTGAAGATGGGACATGATCACGCTGCAGTGATTGGCCACTTAGCCTATCGGGATCTTCATGCACGATTGTGCAATACTGAGGGATAGCATTGTTTGCAATTGTGCAGGGTGACCGTGATCGTGGTGCACAAGTTGACA